AAGCCAAAGAAGGCGGAGGGGAAATCGAGACCTCGCCGGCTGATCCTTGAGGAAGAATCGGAGGAAGAAGTCCTCTTCAGTGGCATCTCCTCTATGGGCCCATCGCGGGAATCAAGTGAAGCTGGGGTTCACCGGCGCCGACTTCGGCAAAAAGGGGTGGTGCTGGATGCGGTGCCGCTCAGGCAGATCCCCCCGGTGCAGAAGAATGAGGCTGGGATGTGCTCCCTGCCCAGAGAATCGAGCCCCCGTGTGCAGTTGGCATGCGAGGAAACCCTGGGAGAAGACGGATTCGAAGAGGATTGTCAGCTCCAGTCACGGACGAGAGAGGTTAACCAGGAGGGTAAAGGGCCTGCTGGGGCGACAAATGGGGCCGCTAATTTGGAAACAGGACAGGGTTCTTGGAAGCCCACCGATTCTTCGTCGGATGAGGAGTGCCCCGTTTTTGAAGTTAGGCGCCGATCTCCCCAGGGCAATCATAGTCTCAAACGCTTGGCTCGCTCCAATCGGGTTAACCAAGTGGTCAAAGCCTTTGAAAAGGGGATGTCCATGGCTGAAACGGAGACACCTTTGGCCCCGAACATAAATGGGCAGGGAGATGCTGGATTGGCCATTATTATTGATGAGTATGGTACTAATATTACTGATAAGATGCACAGTCATAAGAAGCGGCAATTGGAGGACATACTAGGGGAGGACGAGGAGAGTCCGATTCCCAAAAAACAATTTGTGGAAGTTATGGAAGAAGCTGATAAGGTGGAGGAAGCCAGCCTAGAGTGGCCCCCTGTTGATAAATGAGGCTCCTCGCCTGGAATGTGAGAGGAATTGGACCATCCCTCACATTTCAAACTGCGTTTGGTTTAGTGCGCTCTAATAAACCGGATCTCGTGTTTTTTTCGGAAACGCGATCGAGACGGAGTGTAGTCTCCCGCCGTTTGCGGGGCCTAGGGTTTCTCTCTTCCTGTTGTTTTTTTGTCGATGCGTTGATGCATCAGGCGGTTTGGTTGTGGCTTGGTCCCCTGAAGTTAGTGCTTCAGTGTTGTTTCATTCGGAGTTTTGTATTTGTGTTTTAATTAATGAAATGAACTTTTCGTATGTGGTGATTTGTGTCTACATTAGCTGCCATGCTACCATTAGAGCCTCCCAATTGGCTCAATTGCGTGAGATTTGTGGTGATTTGTCCAACCCCTATGTTATCATCGGTGATTTTAATACTACTCTTCATGAGTCTGAGAAAGATGGGGGAAATCAGTGGAATGCTTCCCATTCAATTAGCTTACGTGATTTTATCCATGACATGGGCCTCATTGATCCAGGGTATCAGGGGGATACTTTCACATGGACAAATAAGCGAATGGGGGCAGCTTGTATTCGGGAGCGCTTAGACAGAGCTCTTTGCTCCCAGTCCTGGCTGGACCGTTTCCCTGATACTCTAGTGAAACACTTTACGGATCAGGGGTCGGATCACCGGGCACTCTTGCTTTCCGATAAGCCTTACGTCCGCAATAATCTGCCCCTTTTCAGGTTTGATGCGCGTTGGGCCGATAATCCGGAAGTAAGAGCCATGGTGACCTATGTCTGGAAGGAAGAGGTTCAGGGAACTCCCATGTTGCGTCTTTGGGAGAGGCTCAAGAACCTCCGTCATTTGTTGTATGATTGGAGCAGAGCAGGAACGACCAATTCGTTAAGAAATATTAGGACTCTGCAGGCAGAAATTGACCGCCTCAAGCAAAACCATCCCATTAATTGGGATGAGGTCCGAACTCTTGAGCTTGAGTTAGGTAGACAATGGGAGGCGGAGGAGGAATACTGGCAGCAAAAATCCCGAGTCCGTTGGTTACAAAGGGGGGACAAAAATTCATCGTATTTTCATACGGTGACGAGGACCCGTCGGAAAAAGAATTTTGTGAGTGGGCTTCGGGATGATGATGGCCAATGGGTGACGGATGAGAAAGGGAAAGCGGATATTGCTACTAAATATTACAGTACCCTCTTCACGTCCGAAAACCAGGTTCAGGATATGCATAGACGTATTCATAGTTTGCCTATTGCCCAAAGTGTGACCCCGATCATGAATGAAGCTCTAACGGCTACTGTTCTCCCGGATGAGGTCCGAAGAACTGTGTTTGCCATGGGTTCAAAACAAGCCCCGGGTCAGACGGTTTCACTGGAAAATTTTTTAAGGCCTTCTGGGATATTGTGGGACCTTCGATAGTTGAAGCAGTCTGTTCTTTCTTCACCTCTGGGCGGTTGCTACGCAGTTTCAACCACACCTGGCTCACATTAATCCCTAAAGTGGATTCTGTGGAAACAATGAAGCAGTTGCGTCCCATAAGCTTATGCCAATTCGTGTACAAAATTATAACCAAGATTTTGGCAGAACGCTTGTCCGCGATTCTTCCTCAGGTGGTTTCAGAAGGTCAGAATGGCTTTATCAGAGAGCGTCAGATAGTGGATAATATCTTACTCGGGCATGAGCTCATGCATTATTTGAAAACCAAAACACAAGGGAAAAAAGGGTTCATGGCCCTGAAGGTTGACATGGAAAAGGCCTATGATAGAGTCGAATGGCCCTTTCTCCTTGAAGTTTTGGTTAAGATGGGTTTTAGCTCTACCTGGGTAGGATGGATTAAGGAATGCCTCATCTCTGCTTCTTTCTCAGTTATGATGAATGGTACTCCGTCGGGATACTTTTCCCCTTCTAGGGGGTTGCGCCAAGGGGATCCGTTGTCGCCTCTCCTTTTGTGCTGTGTACTGAAGGGTTTGCGGCGCTTCTCCAGAGGGCGATAGAGGACAAAAAGTTGGCTGGGATCAAAGTGGCTCCACGGGCGCCCAGATTGTCACATTTATTTTTTGCCGATGACTCGTATCTGTTTCTGCGAGGTAACCTCCAGGAGTGTGAGAACCTTATTGAAGTCCTCAATGAATATGAGGAATTGAGTGGCCAAAGGGTTAATCTGGCCAAATCGGCAGTGTGCTTCAGTAGGAATATAGTGCAACAAGACCAAGAATTCTTGGCAGCAGTGCTGGGGGTGGGGGCAGTTGGCGTCCATGATAAGTATCTGGGTCTCCCGTCTTTGGTGGCCAGATCGAAGATGGAGACATTCCGTTATGTGGAAGCCAAATTGTTGGAACGTCTCCAGGGATGGAAACAGAGGACTCTTTCGTGGGCAGCTAAAGAAACGCTTATTAAATCCATTGCCCTGGCTCTGCCGCTGCACGTGATGTCCTGTTTCAAGCTCCCTTTGTCCCTGTGCCGCCTTTTAGACAGGCATGTGGCCCGTTTCTGGTGGGGTGAGAATGAAGGGCATTCGAGGGTGCGGTGGATGTCGTGGCGGGACATGTGCAGGAGTAAGCATGAGGGGGGTATGGGGTTCCGCCGTTTTGAGCTTTTTAATCAGGCACTCTTGGCTAAAATTGGGTGGCGTATCATCAGTGAACCGAATTCCTTGCTGGCCCAAGTGTATCGGGGTAAATACTTCCCTAATGGCCATTTCCTAACAGCGAAAGCTAGGTCTAGGCCTTCCTGGGGTTGGCAGAGTATCCTGTTTGGTCGCCAGCTCCTAGAGATGGGATTGAGATGGCAGGTTGGGAATGGGCGCTCAGCATCTATGCTCCATTCTACTTGGGTCCCGGAATTTCAGTTTCAGCCCATTTGTTACAATCCGCAGGTATTGCCGGCTGGTGGTGACCCTCTGGTGGCCGAGCTTATTTGTCAAGGGGAGGGACGTTGGTGTGACCAAAAGCTATTGCAGTGGTTTGACCCCGTGACGTGCCGTCTAATCAAGGCTATCCCGCTCCCGCGAGACAATGTTGAGGATAAGCTCATTTGGTATGGAACAGCGGATGGGGTATTCTCGGTCAAATCGGCTTACCATCTGGCTGTCTCATTGGAGAAAAGGAGAGGGAGTGGGAGGGCTTCTGTAGATTGGATGGATAGGGCTAGTTGGATTCGGCTGTGGGAGGCTAATATCCCGCCTAAGCTGAAGGTTTTTGCTTGGCAGATCTTCAATCGAATTTTGCCGACTACTGAGGCGCTTATTAGTCACCATATCCCGGTCCTGCCCCGTTGTCCGGTCTGTTGGGGAGGCCCAGAAACTTTGGAGCATCTTTTTTTGGATTGTCCGGTCGCGCGTGCCCTATGGGGGGCGGCGGGGTTGGAACATCTAGGGGAGGGCCTTCCACGGCATACCTTCCCTCTGTTCCTTAAAAAGTTGCTGGCCTTGGTTTCTCAGCCATCGCTGTGGATGGCCATTTTTGCGGTACTTTGGCGGATATGGAAGGCCCGAAACTGGGTTGTTTTTGAAGGAAAGCAATTTAGTCTTCCGGCGCTTTTACGCCAATTTACCCAGCAAGTGGAGGAATGGGCGCGCCTCCCGGTTGAAGACAGATTCCCAACCCCGGTAGTAGTGGAACAAGGCCCTGGGATGGTGGGCTCTGCTGCGTTTGTCTGTACTTGGGACGGTGCCACGAGGAGGGGTTCGCATTCGGCTGGTGGCATGGTGCTTATGACTGCCTCTAGTGCCGTCCTCAGGGTTGCCGGTGTCCAGTTTCCAGCCATTGATGATCCTGCGACTGTGGAGTTGATTGCGCTACGTGAGGCTCTTCTCTGGTGCTTGGGTCAAGGTTTAGCCTCGGTTAGGTTTGAGGGAGATGCTAAGGTTGTCATTGACAAAATCAGGAGGAGGGATTCAAGAGACAGCAGGTTGGGTGCTATTTTGGAGGAGGTGATAAAGATCTTTGACAGTAGCCCTGGGTTCAGTGTCCGTTTTGTAGGTCGGCATAGAAATAGGGTAGCCCATTTGGTGACTAGAAAAGCCCTCGCCTTGTATCCGACTATGAGTCGTGCTTTTAATTTCCAGGCCTGGCTGGTTTCCAGGATGTAACTATCGTTTTCATTATCAATATATGATTATCTTTTGTAAAAAAAAAAAGTGAACATTTATTTTGTTCACTTAATCTGGAATCCTGTATTATTTCAATTCTGATTGGATATCGAACAGAACCGAATCATACTCACAACCTCTTCAGCAAGTCAATCGAGGCACTCAACTCTCCTTCCAGATGTGGGTGGATATGCCCATGAAGCCCAAGGAAGGACGCCCAATTCCACTTCCATAAGATCGGGCTTGAAGCCCAATAGCTTGTCCACCTATAATTCAGCGCCCGGGAAGAAATAAAATCTCTCTACGGTTCTTTGTTCTTTCGACGCTCTCTTCTCTATCTCTTTTCTTCTCGGCCTTGAATTCACGAGTGTGAGGGTCGCTGTTGTGACGTGGCTTCATCATCCGGTAGAACTACAAATCTTCTCTCTCTGCTCAACAGAGTTCCATCATCACTTTCAGATCCGGATCACACCGTAAAATGGCGTCAACTTTCAGCGGCGACGAGACTGCTCCGTTCTTCGGCTTCCTCGGAGCTGCCTCCGCACTCGTCTTCTCCTGTAAGTACTCAATCGTCAATTCAGAGAGCTTTTTCGATTCCGATTTCGATTCCGTTGGAATTCCTCCATCGAAATCTTGAAGTTTACGATCCCGTGTTGCGTTAGTGGATCTAAGAGGGATCTGAATATTTATGCGATCTGTGGTTTGTGAATTTTTCTCTGTTTGGGTGCAGGCATGGGAGCTGCCTATGGAACGGCGAAGAGCGGGGTCGGAGTGGCGTCGATGGGGGTGATGAGGCCCGAGCTGGTGATGAAATCCATTGTTCCGGTGGTTATGGCTGGTGTGTTGGGTATCTACGGTTTGATTATTGCTGTGATCATCAGTACCGGGATTAACCCTAAGGCCAAATCTTACTACTTGTTCGATGGATATGCTCATCTCTCTTCCGGACTCGCTTGCGGTCTTGCTGGCCTTTCCGCCGGTATGGCTATTGGCATCGTCGGCGATGCTGGAGTGAGGTAAATCTTTGATCTCTTTGGCTATCGGTTCTGTTTTCTCCCGTTCTTCTACTAATAGAATGATAGTCCCTGTTCTTAAATAGAAAGTGCGAATTTGAAACTGAAGTTTTGAGTGATATTGATAACTGAAACCTTCTGCATATAGAACAGCGTAAACAAATGATACCGCATTCCAAATCGTTTGGAAAGTTTCACATAGCGCTTGGAATGTTGTTATTAATGTGATGTGAAGTGGTGTTGATCCCTGCCAAATGTGTTCTTGATGCTGTTCATAATATTTCTTTTTCCTGATAAAGCTCTGGTATATCAAGTTTTCCAAACTCAATAAGCTGTGTTTGTACTGAGGCTTATGTAATGGAAGATTGAAGTATTCTGCTTTAACCTCCATTCTTCAGTTGCATAAGAAGATGTAGGCCTTGATGAGGATGTCTATGTCTGAACTTTTTATTGCATATGCATCTGTTGGTTTTTGTATTGATTGCAATCCCCTAAGTGGGTCAGGGCTGCTATTGTTACTTGTGTGAAGAGATTGAAAATTATTTCCCAATCGATGCGTACTCGTGAATGAAGATAGTTTCGCACCTCGGATCATTCTGATATGATATGGTTTGGCATCAGCGGTGCTGGTGTGCAAGGAGTTCGCATTTATTCCTTGTTTCATTTTGTTTGTAAGCACATTCCTGGGACAATTGCTCCTGATTTTGGCAGGGAAAGCTTCTTTTTTAACATGTGATACTCTTGTCCACTACAGGGCTAACGCACAGCAGCCAAAGCTGTTCGTCGGGATGATCTTGATCCTCATTTTTGCTGAAGCACTGGCTCTGTACGGGCTTATCGTAGGCATTATCCTCTCGTCCCGAGCTGGACAATCCAGAGCCGAGTGAACAAACAGAGAGCCCAAGTCGCCTTTCTTCCATGGGTGATTGTATCTTTATTTTGCCTCATCATTATTATTATTATGACATCATTTGATCTTCTAGACTGCCCACGATTTTTTGTTTAGCTTTCAGTCAGTGTACTGCCTAGACACTAGACAGTTCTGAGTATTACTTTCCTATCACGTTAAATGTACTACTAGATACAGTTGTCTGTGTGGTAATAAGTTTCTCTTCTACTTCTGCTCATTCGTTATTTAGCTGGAATAGGGCGAATTCCATATAGCTATTGATGATGCCCAACTTGTGAGTACATTATGAGAGCACAAGCTCACTGGGCGCAGTCTGGAGTGTTACAAGGTCCGAGTTACCTGATTGTGTGCCGTGATACGACGTCTTTATCCTCGAGTCAGGGTCCAAAGCTCTTGACTACTAGCAGCCTAATCTTAGAGGACTATTCCGAAAGGCCTTGAATAGTCATATCTATAGTGGCTAGTCCTGATCCGACCCACCTAGCTACCGAAAATGCTATGACCATAACCTGATTTCCCCCAAAAGGCTCCAACTAGGGGTGTCAGATCGGGTTCAGGATTTTGGGTTAACCTGAAATTGAACCGATATATGACTTTCGGGTTTCGGTTTTTCGGTTCCAGCTTGAAATTATGGCGAAGCGGCTTCGGTTTCACAAAAACCCGAAAACCCGCTGGTCACCCTAAAACCGAAGCATTCCTCCTTTTCCCCAAATTTGCTTGCCTCTCTCCCCAAAACCGAAGCGATTCCTCTTCTCCCTAAATTTGGCTCCCTCCTTCTCTAGGAACTAGGAAGTTCCCCTCCAATCTCAGCACTACCGGTCACCGGACGTATTGTTCATGATATCGTCGGCGATACGCCTGATTGTAAACCCAGATGGAGGTGGCGAGGCGGAGACCCAGACGCGATCGGAAAGAGAGGGGGATCTGGATTATGATGAAGGCCGGAAGCGATAATGGGTTTCATGAGACGATGGCGACGATGGGTTTCAGGAGATGAATGAGACGATTTAGGATTCAGATTGTATATGTTCTGTAACCCGAAATCGAATGTTCATCCTCTGCAAACACACAACCAGACGGCGAGACGTCAAATTTAAAACCCAGACAGAGTGTGGGGATTCATTTCTTTCGGGCAATTGGAAACTCAAACGGAGATGGCGAGGCGGAGACGCGTGATTTGAAAGAGAGATAGATTTGGGATTCTGACGAAGGCAATCATTGATGGGTTTCAAGAGACAAGGGTAGTGGAAGCAATGGAGACACCGACGAGCAGGGAAGAAGAACCCCGGCCTTCATATCCTGGTCAATTCCGTAGGTCCGCGATTCGTGATGTGCTCGCCCCGCCATTGCCAAACGCTCAAACCCCAGCGTCAATATGCAGCCGATCGTAGAGGAAAGAAGCTTCAATGTTCGGGTTTTCGGGTTTGCTGTGACCAAACCCAAAACTGACAAGGCCCTTTTCGCTTCTCGGTTACCCAAAACCAACAGGTGTTTTATCAGGTGCGGGTTCGGGTTTCAAAGGCAACGGGTTTTGGGTTTCGGGTCCACTGGGATTTGGGTTGGGTAAGCGAACTCGAACCGAAACGGCACCCCTAGCTCCAACTGGCCAAATCAATCATAATCATATGCATTTTGATTGCGAGTCATGTTAGAGTAGGGATGGAAATGGATCGGGTTGGGTCGGATTTTGCCAAACCCATGGGTTTATCCGTTAAAAAATTCGGGGTATATCCCAAACCCAACCCGCTGGTTATCCGCGGGTTCATGGGTACCCATGGGGTTTTGTCTTAAGAAATTTACAATAACAAGTTCATAATAAATAAAAGTCAAATGTCAATCTCTCAATACAAATTATTCGTATATAAAGGGGTTGCTATTCGTCTCCCTAAATAATCCTTATCCGTCGCCCTAAATAAGTTATACGTTAATGCCCTTAATTCATTTATTTAAAGTTTAAACATTTAAACCCAAAACAAATGTATAAGATATCGGAAATAAATAAATAAAACAAACTTTACCCAAAACATTGGGCCGGGGTACAGAGTTGTGTGGCTGTCCTTTTCAATTGGGGATACGAAATAGCAACCCTATTTAGTTGGACCAAAATCAAGGTCTGACATTGGAAATGAAAATTGGTTGTGGGAGGAGAAGAAAATTGGTTCTCGGCCAGAGAGTAGTGACTCCTCCAGGGGTAGGCGCAATTGGACAAGCATTAATTGAACAGAGTTGCAGAAGGAGAAAAAGTTTTGGGATTGCGGTTTTGGGATTAATTTTCGGGCAATCATCGAGAATCAAGGTTAGAAAAACAGGTTACTTCATACGTATTTTTTTTCTTCTATTCATTGAATTCCATGATTGTGAACTAAACCTTAGTTTTTGGACCAAAATCGTAGGATGTAGATATCCAATTTGTATGATTTAATTCGAATTATTTGTCATTCTCATGTAAACGAATTGAATCGGGTAATTAGGTAGTGAATTTCAAGCCGTCTTTCCCGAGAGCTTCTCTCCGTTGATTTTTCCCCAAGTCAATTTCCTACTTGTTTTCTAGTTTAGTTACTACATTGTCTTTAGTTTACTACAAAAACACTTTTATTACTCAATTGATAATCTGCATATACATTTTATCGCATCACATGTCCTGGACATAATTTTTTTTTAATTTTTGGATTAAATTATCACTAATTTGTACTAATATTATTGTTTTTTTAGGGAGACAACTTTGTTGAAGTTTGCTACACAATTAACAACATCTTTGATATAATAAGAAGTTTGGTATGAGTAATATGGTAAGTACTTATTTAAATAAAGTTTATAATAAATAAATAAAATTGTATTGACTTATGGTGGATTGGTTTGAAAATTTTCGTATGTTTTTTTATTTTTTGTAGGGAGGTTCTCGAGGTGACGAAGGTGACAAAGTTGATTATACCCAATTCTTCATAAGTGCAGGTTTTTATGATACTGAGGACAAAGCTCGGGAAGCAGCAAAGGAGATAGCAAAATCTCTCGGTTTTTTCTTGATAGTGTCGACAATCAAGTGAAATAGAGGAGAAAAATATTCGCGGATATATATGGATTGCAGCCATGGTTGCAGGAGCATAGCATATATCCCAGATCCTGATAAGCCAAGGCGGAATAATACAAAGACTGGCAAGTTGGGTTGCCGATTCAGAGTGGCAGTACGTGCAATAGTTGTGGATGGTTGTTTGAAATGGAGAATTGCTGGTGTGAGGGGTATTCATAATCACAAACCTGAGCTTTATTCTGAAGGGAGCAGCCAAAGAAATACTCTCACGAAGGAGAAGAAGGAAGACATCAAGGAAATGGAGGCAGCGATGACTCAGCCGAAACGAATGAGGAAGTCTCCCAATGACAAGTATGATGCTCACCACAACATGAAACAAGTTTACAATGAAACCAGCAAGGTTCGGCTACAGAGATTGGGTGGCATGAAACCAATGCAGTGGACATTGAAGGAATCTCAAAAGCTCGAGTATTTCGTTGAGTGTGAATATGATATTGATCGTCATGTCACTAATCTCTTCCTTTGCCACCCGGAGTCTCTTCAAATGTTGAGAGCTTGGTATTTCGTTGTTCTAATAGACTCGACATACAAAACCAACAAGCATAAGAAGCCATTGGTTCAGTTGGTTGGTGTTACTCCGGTGCAGAAGAACTTTAACATTGGGTTTGCATTTGTGGAAGATGAAAAGGAGACGTATACTTGGGTTTTGTCGAGGCTAAAGAGTGTGCTTGGTGGTAGGATCCCAAATGCTATTGTGACAGATAAGGAAGGAGGATTGGGTGTTGTTGTGCGCGAGATCTTTCCAGAATCTACTCACTTATTATGTGTATGGCATATGAAGAACAACATTGAGCTTTCAAATTAGTAGAGAAGTCGCAGAGGGTTTTGTTGAAGGTCCTTGGGGAACATTGTTGTATTCCAATACCCAAGAAGGATTTGATAGTGCTTGGGTGCACTTACAAAACAGTCGTTGGGTGGACAATGGACGGTTGATAAACTACTTGAGAGGCGAGTGGTTATCTTGTGCGAGAAAGTGGGCTCATTGCTACACCAACCGTGTGTTTCATATTGGCAACACGAGCACAAATAGGGTGGAATCATCTCACTCCTCTTTGAAGTCATGGCTTAACACTTCTAGGCACAAGATTGATTCACTCTTCATGAGATTCCATGCTTGTGTCGAAGGTAGCGTGATTGAATTGCGAAAGGACCTAGAGGAATCACGATTGAAGGTAAATTCACTTTAATTAAAGTGTGATTTTAATTTGCATATGAATTCTCTTATTTAGATTGTGGGTTCATTCCAATAGGTATTTACATGGGCATATGGACTTCCTTTCGTGCACTTGAACAACAAGGTCAGTTCATGGGCGATTGAGTTATTGAGGGGAGAAGGAAGTAGGAAGAATGTTGAGAGGTGCGGTTGCGTGCTACCAGAGACATATGGACTTCCATGTTTATGCACAATGCAGAGATTCAGTAACAAAGGTTTAGAGTTGTATCCGCACCACTTACATCGTTTCTGGTCTTCTTTAAACTACCATGATCCACCTGATCGTGCACAGTGGGAGGACCATGATGCCATTGAGAGCGATATTTTCTACCAGATGGTGGAAAAGGTACGTTGTAGAGGGCCAAATTTTATTCGAGCAGCTATTCCATCACTTCGAGCTCATGTTCTCCCTGAGGGCATGGGTCTTCTTGAGCCTAGGGATGCAGAGATTCCGAGGGGTCGACCACCTAGGAGGGAGAACGCCCGAAAACGTTCTTGGGTTGAACACGAGAGATCACGAGAGGCACACAGAAGTAATACCACCAGGACAAGCCCCTCGATGAGGGATCCCACTCCCCTGATGTCTGATCCCACTCCCCCGACGAGGTCCAGACATACAGGTTAGCCACTAAGATTATTTTGATTGTATTATTTTTTGTTTGTGTGTTAGTTTTTTTTTTATGAGTTTCAATATGGTTCCACTTGGTTGATTTCATAGGTAATGCACAAAAGAGTCAATTGTGGCAATTCCATAGTGAGAGGAATATGTGTCCATACCTCCAGTACATCCCATCTAGCATACACCATCTTGTTAGAGCTTGGTTTGACTGCGATGGGGATGGTCATTGTGGGTTTCGAGCAATCTCACACATGATTCATGGGGACGAGGGTTACTACTTAGCGATGAGGCAAGCTGCTATTGGAGAGATTACTAGCTGATGGGATTCTATATACAACAGACATTACAATGGGACACTAGAGGAAGTAATTCGAAGGTTGGATCAAAAGAATTCAGGATGGTGTGGCAACGAGTACTGGTTTGAGGAGGTGGATCTACTAGCATTCGCGACAATGTTCAATTGTGCCTTTTCAGTCTTCGCGAGAGCAATTGATGGGACATATGGGTATAGTGCATTACCCGTGACAGCGCCACCATGGACAACATCTCCAGTTAATGTTTATGCCCTCGTTCATACTGGAGTACATTGGGTCCGACTTCAACTTGCAGACGTCGGAGGTGTTACACCGATGCCTCCATTTAGTTTTCAGTGGTCTCATCTTCACCATATGGAAACTGTTGGTTCTTGGTCATTGTTGTACCAGGAGGAAAGAATGTTGTTTTTCACTCTTGGTGGACATCAGCAGAGCAGACAGGACAAGGGTGAGTCGGAGCATGTAGAACTTGAGTAGTTACATTGTTTTAGCTTTTCGGTACTTATCTATGAAGTAGAGATTGTTTACCCACATGGTTCATCTTTTCGGTACTTATTTATGCAGTAGAGATTGTTTAGCTACATTATTTCATCTTTTCGATACTTATCTATGTAGTATAGATTGTTTAGCTACATGGTTCATCATTTCGGTACTTATCTATGTAGAAGATATTGTTTACGACATATTAGCAAATTGAAGTACTCTGCCTAACAAAACCTGATCGATCTAAAGGATTCCTGACCAGCCAGTGCAGTTTTCATTTTGAGATTGTTCAGTCTTCTAGTGAGAAATAGAAGGATTGCAAGTCGCCAGATGATTAAGTAATTAACCCAACAATTATTCACTCAATCAATCAGATCGCATTGGATTGAACTTTTAACTCCTCAGCTCCCCTAAAACCCAAAAAAAAAATACTTTAGATGAAATAATTTCGGCCACCAAAGAGGCTAAAGTTTCTCAAATCCTCGTTACAATAGAACATCGAGAACCGGGATTGGTGAGGTCATGAACTGGGGAGTTGAAAACAGGGGACATAGTTCTGGATTCGGGAGACGGAGGAGACGACATGGAATGGGAATTGGAATTAGTCGGCGACGGGTGATGGACTCGGCATCTGTGAGGTGGCGCTGAGTGAGACGAAGACGAGGAGGGGGAAGACTAGAATGAGGAGTCTGTGAGCTCTGGGATCCGCGCAGTCGGAGTCTGTGAGCTCGAGCGATCAGGAGCTCTGGGATCCACGCGTTGCTGGCGGAGCTCAGGGACGTCAACGACCACCGGCCACCGACGCGGAGAGGAGAGCCGACGGATCGTCGGGTCTCTTCGTCGGCGGTGCACATCGCTCATCTGGAGACGAGGAAAAAGAAGCATTAAGAGCATTTTCTTCGAGGTGGGAGAGAGATTAAGGTAGGAGCGACCAAGGTATGAGCGTTTTCTTCGCCGGGGTTTGACGGTAGGAGTTGCAAATATGTTGAAATGAAGAAGTAGCGTTTTCTTCGAGGTGGGTAGAGATGAAGTTAACCAAAAAAGAGAATAAATTAAATTAGCTTATGCCTTCTCAACATTTGTTTGGTTAAGGGATCATATAAATTTTGTTCAAGGCTAAATATGTCAATTTAATGCGTTTTAGGGCGATAAAATTTGAATTCTAGGGCTACGAATAGCGATTCAGAACATCATTCTAGAAAATTCATGTAAATCACAAATTAACCATACAAATTGTTCAACATCAATATAGAAAACTCAAGAAAATTGAAGCAAATCACAAATTATTCATAAACAACATGATTAATTGAAAGCTTCTTCATTCTTGTCAATTAAGCTTCTTCACTCTCCACTCGATAATCTCAACTTCATTCTACATAATTAGAAAGAAAAAATTAGACATGTCTCCACAAACATAAAGAAGATTAGTTGTTTAGAATATTAAATATATCGGAAAAATTAATTATATGGGTGTAGGTGGGTACTGACATTTCGGGTCGTGATAGTACCCATAGGGGTTGGGCGGGTTTATCTAAACCCAAACACAACTCGATAAATAGTGAGCATGTTTAAAGCCAAAACATGCCCAAAACCGTTAACACGAGTTTTACCCGCGTTGATCGGGTTGGGTCGGATAAGGTACCCGTGAGTTCAGGTTTTGTTGCCGTCTCTATGTTAGATCGAGAGTGGCTCGGGAAGTACAGAGCCACCTTTAGACCCCTAGTCTTATCAGGAGCCACTGACCTAAAGGCGCCTATAACAAGACATTCATTGCATGCCTGGTTAGGATTCAACCAGGATATGATGCACCACTTGGATATTGGAGAACGGTTCTCCATTCCATCCAATGGCCCACGAAAGTGTTCTTTTAAATTAAAGGCTCAGATCTATTAGAGCAATGGATAATGGATTATGGTACTCACGACCTGAAAAAGTAGCTGACATGTGGGTCATTTATTTTTAACAAAATAAAAATTATACATACTATTTACAAGTGATATATGTATATTCTTGTTGAACTAAAATCATATTTGTATTGAACAAAATACATATTTGTATTGAACAAATATACACATTAGAATATCATATTCGTATTAAACAAAATATGATATTTGCATTGAATAGAAAACATATTCCATATATGTGATTTTTATATTCGTAATTTTCACAACTCTTATTCAAAATAATATACCACGCATTAAAAACCATATTCTTGCTAAACATAAAACATATTGCTATTTATCACAAAACATATTTGTACAAAACATAAATCATATTCAGCATTTTCAAGAACTTGCATTCTCTACTCTCTCTTGTGTGAGCTCCTTTTGAGTCCGTGGGCCCCGAAAAAACAGTTTTTTGTCAACTTATTTTCAATTGCTGACCTCACTCTCCACTACTACTTTAAAACAACAAATCTTGACTCTTAATTTAGTGGCCCATTTTTATGGACCATTGAATGTAAGATGGAGAACCGTTCTCCAAAAGCCAAGTGGTACACCATATCTAAATTCGTTGAGATTTATAGGGAGAGCAGATCCGGTGAGTAACCTTGTGGTGAGTAACCCCATGCATAACCCAATAAGAATATGCCACATCAGCGCCTCCTTCTCTCTTCTGAAAAAAATCATTAATTTTCTTTCCCTTAATCTTTAACGGACGATTTCTCTTTCGTTTTAACTCAGAATTTAATTTCTTTTGCACAGTTAGATCAGATTAATTGTGCTCTTCAAAATGATATCCACTTTGATATTTTTGGAACAAAAAAAATTGCCAGTTATTACCAGTCAATACCATATGGTATGAAAAATACCACCTCATACCAGGGTGGTATAGTATGGTATGGAGTTGGTAACGATTCAAAATGATATCCACTTTGATATTTTTTGGAACAAAAAAAAAATTTGTCAGTTATTACCAGTCAATACCATATGGTATTAACTGGTATTAAATAACAGCATACCATATGGTATGAAAAATACCACCCCATACCAGGGTGGTATAGTATGGTATGGAGTTGGTAACGAGAGGTATGAAATTTTTCCCCCAGAAAATTTTGAAATCCAATAGATCATGATTAAATCGTTCCTTTTGTGCAAAAATTTCCGAAAATGACTAAACAACGAAGGAGATACCATATGGTATGGAGTTGGTAACGAGAGGGGTGAAAAAAAAAATTCAAAAAATATTGAAAATGGATATCATTTTGTAGAGCACAACGAACTCGTTCCATCTGTGCAAAAAAAATTGAAATCCGAGTTAGAATGGAGAAGATATGATCCACTAGAAAACTAGCGAAAATAAATTCTTTTAATTCTCCACCTTTAGATCTGCAGCCACTTAAAAAAGGGTCCAGATTTGATTACTAATTGTTACTCACCCTATCTTGAGCCATTTATGGGAACCACACATGAAAGTCCTCCCAATTTTGGGACCGATGACGTCACTGCTAACGGAATCAGACATGTTCGTTTATTCCCACCCATTTCCTGGGGAAAAGATGACGCAACTGAACACGTAAGCTTCTCGCGAAGTTGGAAGTTGGAACACAAACCGACTTGTTCCGCAATCCGTACTCTTCTACCGGACGCCGTTTAAGTACAATTCCATTCCCCATCCCTCCACACGGTTACCCGCCACGAAGAGTCTGCCGAATTCTTTCTTTCTTCCTTCCTCCCTTCCTTTCCCCTCTGCTCTAGCAGCCGCCGTCTTTGACGCGATTACCGGACGACACCAATCTATTCAGCCGTCGATTCCAATTCCCACGTCGATTCGTAAGTTAATTTATTCGACGTTGGCCGTTGGTTTCGCGGGGGTTTTCCTTTCTTTTCGCCCAGGAATCTGTATGAGCCCGCTTCGCCTGCGGATTTCCTCGATCTTCTCCGTATCAAGAGTAATGGCGGAAGAACTGGGATCCTCTGCTTCCGCCACCGCCGCCCCTGCTAGCCAGAGTTCAAATCCGGGGGCATCGTCATGGGCGAAGACGAGGTCCTTGTGGCCTTCCGTTCTCCGGTGGATTCCAACTTCGACCGACCACATCATTGCCGCCGAGAAGCGCCTTCTTTCCATCGTCAAGTAAGAGATTTTTAGCCACAAGATTCCATTCTGATTCGAATTCAGGATGGGTTGAATTGAATGTTGTCATTTGTCAATTGTCTCTGGACCAACTCCTTGGGGGTTCGAATTCGTCACATTAGCTTCGAATTACCTCTTCTGCTTGAGAATGATGGTGTTCCTGATTGGATTGGTGATTGAATTGCGAACCCTATATCAATTAGGAAGAAGAACATTGACATCTAGCTCGGAAATCTAGGGTTCTCAATTCCATTAGAGTACTCTGTCTGGCTCGGGGTTGAATTGTGATAATAATGTGGGCTTTGGTGCGGATTTTGCAGGACTCCATATGTTCAAGAGAAAGTGAATATAGGTTCAGGGCCGCCAGGTTCCAAAGTCAGGTGGTTTCGTTCTTCAAGTAACGAGGAGAGGTTCATCAACACGGTTACATTCGACAGTAAAGAGGGTGCTCCTACACTTGTCATGGTCCATGGATATGGTGCTTCACAAGGGTTCTTCTTCCGGAATTTCGATGCTCTTGCTGCAAAGTTCAAGGTCATTGCAATTGACCAGCTAGGGTAAGAGTTTATTTCCAGGGACGAATGTAATGTAGCTTATATGTATTTGAACTATGAGGGTTTTGTTTGTGTTGTTGACTTGTTGTTCACTCTTTGTATAATTTCCTTTCCAGTTGGGGTGGATCCAGTCGACCTGACTTTACTTGCAAGAGCACTGAAGGTTAGATTTGGATTCTGGAGTGCGATTTTTTCTTTCTGTTATGGTGGTGAATTACTACATTGACAGAAGCATCTTACGTGTGTTTGCATTTGATGATGCAGAGACAGAGGCATGGTTTATCGACTCTTTTGAGGAATGGCGAAAAGCTAAGAACTTGGATAACTTCATCTTGCTTGGCCATTCTTTCGGGGGTTACGTAGCTGCTAAATATGCTCTTAAGGTAGTACTTTAGGGATTCTGAATTTCTGATGGCATTTTGTGTTTGAACTTGAATCATCCTGAGTATTGGTTATGCCTGTGTTGTAGCATCCTGAGCATGTTCAACACTTGATTTTGGTGGGATCTGCTGGATTTTCATCCGAAGCTGATTCCAAGTCCGAATGGCTTACCAAATTCAGAGCGACTTGGAAAGGTGCAATCATGAATCATTTATGGGAGTCGAATTTCACTCCTCAAAAATTAGTTAGGTATGTGTTCTTTGTTCCTTAGGCAAAGGGGTCCATATTTCGTCATAGGCTCAATTCTGTTAAGTTGGTTTCTCCCGATGGATGACATCAGCTGTTGCTTATATGTGCCCCTCATATTTCTATCACCAGAGGTTTAGGTCCTTGGGGTCCGGATATGGTTCGAAGATACACGTCTGCTAGATTTGGTGCATATGCAAATGGAGAGATGTTGAATGAAACCGAGTCCAAGTTGCTAACAGGTAATTGCAGGTTTTCCTTTGAACTAGAAACTGTTTAGCACAACTTGGCAAGTTTATCTAATTCACAGATTTTCAACATGCAGATTATGTTTACCATACTTTGGCGGCCAAGGCAAGTGGAGAGCTATGCCTAAAGTATATATTTTCCTTCGGAGCATTCGCTCGAATGCCCCTATTGCAAAGGTTCGATGATCCCTGTATATTGAAATTTAGTTTTCCACTTCTCGATTGCCTTACTCTAGTTCGATTTCACTGAGAAGTGCCTCTAGAATGAATGATTGAGTTCAATAATTAAGTTCACCACATGCTTCATGTGTGAAGTGTGTTCCAAAGATTCTAGTCCATCGCCGAGTTCTTATCTCAGATTCCTTGAAATCTCAATCATGCTGCAGGGCGTCAGAGTGGAAAGTACCGACGACATTCATATATGGAGTTCAGGATTGGATGAACTATAAGGGCGCCCAAGAAGCTCGCAAGGAGATGAAAGTCCCTTGTGAAATAATCAGGGTTCCTCAGGTGTGCACTCTCTTTCAGTCTCTCACTCTCTCACTGATTCTCTCTTTCAGAAAGTGTTTCTGATCGCCACTTAATTTTGCAGGGAGGGCACTTTGTGTTCATAGACAACCCAGTCGGTTTCCATTCAGCCGTGCTCTACGCCTGCAGAAAGTTCATCTCTAGTAAACCGGATAGTGAATCCCTTCCTGAAGATCTTACCCTGGTATAGTAGAGGACTGGTCTTCTGTATCTTTCTCAATTTATATTTCTCAAGTTGTGCATAAACCTCAAGTTGAAGTTGCAACATTTTGTATCCATGTAGTGTATTATGCTGTACCATATGACTATGAGTGTATGCTTCAGATTCTGAGACTAATAAAAATCATTTACAACAAAGCCAATTGGATAAAAGAGTGACTTCCAATTTCCTGAGGTCCCCAGGTGAAAAGAGAGTGAGGTGTAAAATTACGGCAGTTGGGAAGTGAAAAGATTTTGACAGTGATGCATGGGAGCGGTGAAAGAAAGAGTGTCACTTTTTCCCCTTCTCGTCCGTTTCTTCTGTCGTTTTTGCTTTATTACTGTGAAAAAGAGGACAGTCCTGAGTCCGCCATTGATTTCCCCTTGGATTCAGAAGCTCGGCCCCCACAAAGCTCTGTAATCTGCAGAGCTCATGACAGAGTGAATGGGGGATAAAAGAACATGAACCTAAAAGGCCAACTTTTTTTATAACCTCCATAAGGAAATTCATTAGCCTGCCCTCAACGTCTATAATTCATAACTCAAACCTTATCCCAGTTTCACGTTCTTCTGAGTTTAGCCATCAACTAGAGCACTGCAACTGTCAGATCTGCAATTCATTCTCTCCTCACATCCTGCTTGCATCACAAGCAACTGCGACAAATCAAACAATCATGGTACTTACCATACAACGAGAATACGAGATAGCCAAATTCAGAGCGGATTACAACAACTAGACCGATGGAGCCTGTAACTACATTTGAAACACCATCCCCTTTCTAAAGTAGAATTGAAGGATTCCTACAGTACTTAACTGCAGATCGAGGACAGTAAAATTTCGCGGTTGAAACGGAAGGGTGGTGGAATTGAACCACCAGATGGCGAAATAAACCAGCTAGCCATCCCAGAAAAAGCTTACGTTTCTTTCTTTTTGGTGGGCTTGAGCAATTATGATAGCCACTGACTTACCACGGTCCCCCGACAGCAACGTTACTAGAGTGGAAAACAAAAAGAAACCCAAAAAAAAAAAAAAAACTGTAGGATACTGGAGCTCTGGCAACGCCAGGGGAAGTATCACATGCATTTCAGTACTTACCATTGACGCAGATCCCAGAAGTTAAAAAAGGCACAGGAAGGTGGATGGATGTTTCTCTTGCATGGTGGCAAATGGGTCGGGTCAAAATACGCTGCGGATAGATTTTGGTTGATTGATTATGATGATCATTAAAACACAGATTCGATAAAAAAAAAATGTTGAAAACGCAGAAATTGGAGGGAGAGGGAGACTGGTGGTGGTGGATGGTGTGGGTGAGAGATTCAGCTGGTTGAATTTTTATTACTAGCCTTCACCTTCCATCCGTCAGTTAAGTGAAGTATTTGAACAAGACACTTAAATGTTCAAAACTGGTGATATTATCACTAAATCAATTCCTTGTTTGTAAAAGTTGAATTTCGTTGTCGAAACTGAAACCCTGGTCTAAGAAAAAACAAATGAAGATCAATATTATAAAATTTTAGTTTTTTTTTTCCATTGAATCAGTTCCCATTTTATTAACAAAACAAGAAAGTGCAAAATATGCACGTTGATACAACGAAGGGGCAAATACAAAGACTCACCCCGCACTCACTACCGCTTCTAACCTCCCCCACTATGACTACCAAACCAGATTTATAGCTTTACAATCTTCTTCTAATACTGGATAAAAGGAAACAAGTAAAGAAAAGGGTTAATTGCATGGTTGGTCACTCAGATTACAAAAAACGTTCATATTTGGTCACTGTAAATATTTAAATCCAATGTTGGTCACTCAAATTAGTTAAATGGTTCAAGTTTGGTCACTCTCCGTCCAATTCCATTAAATTTGTCTGATGTGGCAGTCAACCCTCAAAATTGACCGTTAACTCAGTGACGTGACAATTAAAAAATAATAAATAAAATAAATTTTAATCTTCTACCATTTCCAACTCATTTTCACAATAAAGTAAATATATATATATATATAATTACAAATTGAAAACAACCACCGCCAGTACCAGGACCTCTCCACCATCCTCCCCCACCGACTCGGCCCCTACGATCTCCTCTCCAAGGACGTCCCCTGATCCTCGAGCGGCACAACAACGATCTCGCCCTCGTTGGGTGTCAAATCCTCCGTCGCCGAGTTCTTTGTCGCTGTCGAAACGGTTCGTGGCCTCTTCGAGCTCGCCGTAGGTGAAGATTGGGATTCCAAAGCAGGTGTTGGCTTCTTCGTCCGGGTCTCTGGTGGTGGGAGATGGTTTGATATAGGCGTTTCCCGAATCGAAGCTTTGTTGATTCTTCTGCCTTCTTCTTCTCTTGCGATGGCAAATGTAAGCAGAGAGCAAAATCATGACTAGTATTACCACTCCAAACCCTAGACCTGGAGAAAAACAGAGGAATCAGAATGTATGACAGGAAATTTCCATCGGGGTAAAAAACAAAACAACTAGACATTGATAACTTACCCAATCCCAGCTTCAACATAGATCTACGTTTCCCTGCGAAAAAGAAATGTTTGCAGAAATATGCTTAGACAGGCGAAAAACCGATCCGATTCAGAATTGGGGTTTTAGTGGGAAAGGAATGAATTGGGTGTGAACGAGGGCGAGATCGTTGTTGTGCCGCTCGAGGATCAGGGGAACGTCCTTGGAGAGGAGATCGTCGGGGCCGAGTCAGTGGGGGAGGATGGTGGAGAGGTCCTGGTACCGACGGCGGAGGCGGTGGTTGTTGTCATCGGCGGCGGAGGAGAGGTGGTGGTTGTTGTTGTCGTCGGTGATGAGCACTTTTCAATTTGTAATTATAATATTTTTTGTTTTATTTATTTCATTTTATTGTGAAAATGAGTTGGAAATGGTAGAAGATTAAAATTTATTTTATTTATTATTTTTTAATTGCCACGTCACTGAGTTAACGGTCAACTTTGAGGGTTGACTGCCACATCAGACAAATTTAACGGAGTTGGACGGAGGGTGACTAAACTTGAACCATTTAACTAATTTGAGTGACCAAGATTGGATTTAAATATTTACCGTGACCAAATATGAACGTTTTTTGTAATCTCAGTGACCAACCATGCAATTAACCCGTAAAGAAAATCTCTCTTCCATAACTCATTCACTACTTCCGCCGTTCTAGGGACCTCACCATGAACTCTCCGACACCTTTCCTGCCAGATGAAGGTAATCAGAGAGCACCAAATCGAACCTATGAGCCTTCCCAATGTCGTGCCTCGCTTGAAGATGACACCTGCATCTGAGAGTCTAAGCTCCCATGAACTGCTACTAAACAAACTTCCCACACTATGAACTAAGCTCTTCGAGAAACAACAGTCAAAAAATAAATGCTCCCTAGTTTCACTACTTGCAACACACAACACACAGCTATCATCAATCACCTTTCCCCAACGTACCAACTTCGTTATAGTTACAATCGCATCCATAATGACAAGCCATGTAATGAAACTCCATCTTGGTACGTTGATGTATTACAAAAAAAAATTGACTAATATTTTACATTTCGAAATATTTGACTTATAATTTATAAAATTTAACTAATAAATTGTATTTACTCAATAATTTAATTAAATAAATAAAATAGATAAAAGAAGGGAGTTGCTAAAGGTCGCCCTTAAAATTGCTAAATGTCGCCCTATAAAACATCAAAGTTACAAATTTAACCTTTTAACTTCTTTACTCTTCGTTTAGCAAACAAACACCACTTAGTAAAGAAATAAAACATTATTCAAAAGAGAGAATCCATCATCGTCATTCTGGAGTTGGAATCATCGATATGATGTCTGGATCATGACTAGCGACTCTGAATCGGTAAAGTTCAATAAAAAAATTGAAAAAAAAAACAAAAAAAGGGAACCGTAGCTCATTTGCGGTTGCACCATGGTGCAACCGCAGCTCACTTGCGGTTCCACCATGGGCCAACCGCAACTCACTTGCGGTTGCACCATGGACCAACCGTAACTTGCCTTAGGTTGAACATTTTTTTGGAAATTTCGTTAGAGAACGGGCGACGACGACGGCGGGAAAGACGCCGACGAACTGGTGCGTCGAGAGGGATTCGCGAAGAAGGCAGATGAGGGGTTCAGTTTGAGGGGTTAGTGATTGTTAGGTTTGTTTAAATTTTAAATTTTATTGGCGGTATATAAGTCATTTATCATTAGAGTTAGGGCGACCGTTAGCAATTTTAAAGGCGACATTTAGCGATTCAGTAAAAGAATACGCTGGGCCCTACGCCCAATCCTTCTTCGCAGCATTAACGGCTACTTTTTGGATAGCCTCACTGGCCCCCACGTGCCCCTTCTCATTGGCTTTTTTTTTCTCTAGCTTCTTTTGGCGGGAGTTTTGGACTTCTTGCTGTGGGCCCCGTCCATACATTACCTTCCTTCCACGGACATCTGTTTATTCATAAATAGCAATTAAATTTTTTTTTGGTATAATAAATACCAATTAATTAGTTATCAGTTATTAATAGGATAAAACAGAAACTCCTCCTCCAATGGCATTGATTGTTCGTAAACGCAATTTGATTCCCCCAACTTAATTTCAGGCTATAATAATAACACTAGTTCTCCATTTTCATATCGGTCCCTAAAATACGGCACCTGCACCAAAGCTTACAATTGCAAATTATGGTGATTCCTTGTGGTTTTGTACATATCAAAGTGGCACTAGCCACTAGTGTCATGACAAAGAATATTCGAGTCGATCGTCTATGTGAGATTCAAATTGAGATCGAATATATGATCCAGTTAGGGCAAGAGTATTGCCTGTTAAAAACCGAACAGAAAAAATTTAGGGTTACCGATCTGGCTGAGTCGCGGACTAGGTCGCTCTCTTTAAGACATTCGCGGCACTACCTCATAATTCGCACAGCAGACTATCAGCCGGTCGCCTCCATGATAAAACAACCACTCTTATTTATTGCTCATCGGTTTTGTGCGGAAAACCGGAGCTCTTTGAATTTCACTCTCTTTCTCGTGTTTTTGCTCTTCTGAGGTGTGTTTAGAGGGTCTGGAGCGTCTCCTATTTGTAGGAGTAGAAAACCCAGAATATTCCCTCTTTCTTTGGGAATAAGTCATATTTTAATTAGGAAGACATAATATTCCTTTTATTAATTATCCATCTTATTTATGTATTATGGGAAAATACTGGATAATTAATTAGGAATTTCATTTATAGCTTTTCAAAGCTATTCATCCCAACATTGCCAACTCAAGATTTAGTTAAAAAAAATTGTTCCATTGATAAAATCGTTAATTCATCGTAACT